GAGGGAGAGAGGGAGGGAGGAAGGGAGGCAGGGGTGCGGGGAGGGAGACAGGGGGTAGGGAGAGAGGCAGGGGGTCAGGCAGAAGGAAAGGAAAAAGAAAAAGGAGGGAAGGAGGGATGGAGGGAAGGAGCAGGGCAGGACACAATCTGTGAACAGGTTCATAATGTCATCGTCCCTTAGGGAGTGCCAACAAACAGATCAAAATAGTAACATCGGTTAGTTCCTGCTTCCCACAGATTGCTCTGCACACGCCAGTTAGTTCGTGAGGAAGGAGAGGGGTCTTCAGGCAGGCGCTTGGAAGCCATGTCCAGCCTTCTTCATCTTAAAGATTCACAATGCCCGTATGCATTTTTAAGGTTCTGAAAACTTCTGCAATACAGAAAGTTGCTGAACTTTATGTAACTGAGACGCTCCCAGGTTTGTCTGGCCAGGAGTCTTTTTTTGAACATAATCCCTATTAACCTTTGCTTAGTGTTTGAGCTACATGGAATGAAAATGAAATTGCTTAGAGTGATATTTGTTTTCTGACACTAGCATTCTTCATCTAAGTTCTCTCACAAATTTCTGGGAAAACTGAATCAGTATTAAAAAAAAAATCCCTATATGAACAGCAACAAATTTTTAACCCCCCTGAGTTCCCTCATGCTCAAAGAACCACCTCTTCTAATTTTCTTCCCTTCCTGTCCGCAGTCTCACCCGGTCAGTACTCTGTCCTCCCCAGATAAGAACTGAAGAACACAGCCGTCCCACCTGCCGCTACACACGACCCAAGGCATTTTTTAAAAAATGCATTTACATTTGGACATTTCCCCCTCGGGTTTTTATCTGTTTTTTTCTTTTAATTCTCACCCTCTTCTATGAACAAGAAGAAGCTTTTAGTTGAGAAAGACAAATGGAGAAAACATCCCACGATTTGAATGTTTCTGTTAATGTCGTTCAGAAGTGGGCAAAACATTTTTTTAAACTCTAGGAAGAAAACCCCCGGCTTTCCACAGCACTCCCACGTCTCCCACAGTGGCGGGCACGCCTGCCGCTCACCCCAGTTCACTTATCTCTGCGAAACTTTCAGCCCTGGCCTGACTCTCACAGACTATGTACTTGCCTTGACAGACTTGAGGGACCCCCCAACATATGACATCTCCAAATGTGAGAACACGCTGAGGTTACTGGACCCATGCCCAGGATGTGTTCACTCTTGTCTGCGGGGTAGATTAGATGTAATTTTCTTTCTTAAGCAGCTAAGTGCAATTAAGAAGTCTCCGATGATGATCTGAGGTATAGTGCAGACAGAGACTAAAGCCTGTGAGTAAACCCCACCGCCCTGAGAGAAACTCAGGCAGTAAAGGGGGCAAAGGGGACAGAGAGGGGCCTTCCCCGGGCTTCCCCTGAGGCAGCCTTCTCAAGGGCGCCCCACTGAGGGTACTGCCTGGGGTGGGCAGATTGTCCTCTGCTTTGTCTGTTATCACACTGCTTCCCCAATACCTTCCTGAGTTGACATAAAAGTCATCTAAACATCCCACAAGGTTAACTACATCCTGATAGAGGCAACACTTCAGTTAAAAACAAAATTCCAGGACCTCAGTTTCAGGATAACACTGAGCTAGGAGACCACCTCCTGGTCGCTGGAGTAAGGAACCTGTTTGCTATGCCTATAATTTCCTGGACAGCTACCCCTGGATGTCCAACTGTCACCCTAAACTAAACTTCTCCAAATTCAAACACATGGTTTTCCCTACCACTTCTGAGACCTATCCCTGCCCTTGACAATGGTACTCACATCCCTCAAATGTCCGTGACCAGGAATCTGGAAACCACCTGCAAAGGTCCCTCTCCCTCAGCCCCCAGGGTGAGAGCTCACCAGCTTCTGTTGCCAGTCTTTGACAAAACAGCAGGCTTAGGAGAATCACCCCAACACGTCATAATACCTTGCGAAGCTGTGACCCCTCTCTTCATCCCCTCAACAACGTTCTCCTTAAGAGTCTTTATCTCTCATCTGGATTCCGACCACTACCTCCTAAAATCTTTCTGCCCTGGTCTTGCCTTCCAAGCCATCTTCTGCAGATTTTTCTTGTCATAGAAATGTGTCCATGATACTGCCTGCCTAGAACACCTCAAGAGATGCCCCAAGTCTTGACAACAACACATGTCCTGAAATCTGCAGACAAAAGCGGCCCAGGCGGTGGTACTTTGTGACCGCAGCCCCACGAAGCCATGCTCTTCCCTCACTACGCTGTAGGTTTCTTTCACACAGGAACCACCTCAGATGCATCTTTGCACCCCCAGGGCCCAGCACAGAGCCTGGGAGCACGTGTTTAATAAGTGTCTGGGGAATCAGTGAATGATCGAATGCATCGCAACCCTGCAGAGGGAAACAGACACCTTTAGAAAAGGCCACACTTAGTGAAGAGTAAACTCAGCTCAATACATGGTGTGAAGGTTCAATGACAGAAAATTACTGATTCAACTTTTCTGTAACAGAAACTACTATACCAGCCTTCACCCAACCAAGGATTTCTGAGCCCCAAGTAATGGTGACCTCATTTAACTCATTACCTTAAATCCCGTAATGCCATGGCTCTCCTTTTCAGCTTGTTATAGCCAGACCTGCCCTTCCAGGGCTGGGGACCTCCAGAATCATTTAGCCCAGTCCTATGGTTCTCTATTCTAGTGGTCGTCTATTAGCCTTAAAAAATTAATGCAACTCCTAATCGGCTAATTTACTACCAGAGAGCACTCTGGACACTGGGGAGAACAGAGCTCATTAAAAATTAATTTTTTCCAATCTCCTTATGCAAATATTTATTTATAAAATATGCCCAAGCATAAAGCTTTCAGGGTCCACAGCAGAACAGATTATAAACAGAAAAGCCGTCAGGAAAGATTCGCTCAGGCCCTAACTTCCAGCTCTTCTTCCCGACTCTAACCTCACCTTGCTTGAGGGACTAGTCGATCTCCCAGCCTGCAGATTTCTTGCCTGTAACAAATCTTATTCAACTTCTGGTTCTTTCTAAAATTCTCAGAGCCCTGTTGTCCATGTGAGCCAATCCCAACTTTTTGGTCTGAAACTCTGGGTTCTTTGTCCTCTGGTTCCAACTTAGATTTCCTGATCATCCTATTGAATTTGCTTCACTACCATCCACGTTCTTCATCCAGGTTAGACGACTTGCTGGCCGTGAGTGGCCCATATGCTTTACTCTCCTGTCCCCCTGAGGAAACCACACTCAGGAAGCACCTGACTGCCCTGTCCAACCCAAGCCTAGCTATTCTTGTGCAAGTATTTCAGGTTCCACCTCCCCACGATGCCTTTCACATCCTACTGCCTCTCCCTCGATGGGGCCCCTTCAGCCCTGCTACCTGTCAGTATTACTGGACATACATTGCTCTGCACTATCAGTTAACTGCATAGGAGTCTTTGCTTCACCTGCTTAAGAGGCCTGAAAGATCTCTGTGTCCCTGCAAACAGCAACTCAGGAGCTTGTGCTCAGTGGGTTCCCAGTAAATACCCATTAAGGTACTTTAACCATGTCAGAAACCACTTAGCTCTCATGGTAGCTGCTTCTCCACATCCTAAAGTAAGAATCAACAGCTGAACTCAAACTTACAAACTGCAATAACAGACAAATAGCCGTTGCTGCCCAGACCCCCTGTGAGGGCAGCACGGCTGTCTCCCATGGTGCTCACTTCCCAGCACGGTCCTGACTACAACTGGCATCGCTGGCAACAGACTCACATCCCAAGCTGGTAGGGATTCTGATTATTCCTAAGCCTGGAATCTGAGTTTCTATTTTTCCTTGTCCCTAAAATACATACACAGTCTCCATCATGGGGCTTCTGGTCTGAACCCTAGTGTGTGGGCTGCAGCCTGTACTTGATAGTTCAGTCTTCTTAGGGTATAGACCTTGAGCCTCCATGTAGATTCTGGGGATGCCTCAGACATCCCCAGAATGTCCCCAGTCAAGCCCCTCAGAGCTGGGACAACAGCTGCTGAAGGCAAATCTAGAATTTCTCCTACAATTGACAAAATGGGCCAAGAAGTATACAATAACCTATCAGCCTGTCAGTTCCTCTCTCTAGACCAGGCGTCCTCAAACTGTGGCCCACAGGCCACATGCGGCCTGCGTAGGACATTTATCCGGCCCGCTGGGTGTTTTTGCCACTGCTGCCTGTCCGGCTTAGCAGCCCACCCATCCTGGGCCCGCAGTCCAGCCCTCCAACAGTCTGAGGGACAGTGAACTGGCCCCCTGTTTAAAAAGTTTGAGGACCCTTGGAATAGACTATAAGCTTTAGTGGTAGGGTCACTGTCTCATTCACCTTTTTCTGTATTCTGAGCATCTGATCATCAGTAGGTACTAAAAAATCCACACTTGTTGTCTGAATGGACAGATGAACACAAATGACAGATGGCTCCAACATTATTCAAACGGATTTCCTAATTTTTAAAAAATATCTGAGCTTTAAAATGAGAAGGGAAAAAAAATCCAGCTCTAGAGGCAAGTGATCTACTTTTAGGTTCATCTTCCTAAACTTTTGTGCCAGGGGCTAATGGCTAAGGTTCTCCAGAGCAGAGGCAGGAGATGACACAGACAAGAGGGGAAAAGGCTTTGGAGTGACTGTTTTGAAAACACATTTGCTCTCAAGAGGATGCCGCCAAATGTATACAAAGGTGCTGTTACCATCACTTTATTCTTCGTTAATAAGAGACTTAAAGTTTTTTTATGACTTGAAAGAATATCATAAGAAGTCCCATTGAAATCCACAAGTATTTACTAAGTGCCTAAGGGGAGCCGTGAGGTAGGTTCCCAGACAGGTGGCAAAGAGCTCAAAGTGTGAGGACGAGGAACACACACAGGAGCCCCTAAGCCTGGTGGGAAGAACCCAGTAGCTGCCCAGCGATTTCTGAGGACTGTCCAGGAGTTCCACTCACCAGCACAGTGTCCCTCGAGGGTGAAGAACTGCTCTTCCCTGCAGCTGGCCCTGCAGTTCCCAGCAGTAAGAGAGCCATGAGGGTGACAGGTGACACAGTCAGATTCCAACGGCCCATGACACTGTTTGCAGGTTGGGTGACATTCTAGGTGGGGAAAAGAAAACAGGATTGGAATCGGCAGTTCAGCAAGGAAACGCCTGAAGTACTGAGCGCACTCCACACATCACAGCAGGGGCAGACCTCAGACTCCGGGCAACTTTGAAGATTCCTGAGCAAGCCTGGAAGCCTCTTAGACCTGACTGAGAGAATATGTTTCTGGAGTGATCGGAATACTGTCCACGAACATAACATGGAATGGAGACTGTACACATTTGGGTAATCAGTCACACGTTCCAGAGGGACCAGCATGGCCATCTCATCTGGGCCAACGAGGAGTCATAAAGCAGAGCGTGACTGGCCAGACTCCCCCACCCTGCAATACCGTAATTTAAAGAGAGAGCAGGACAGAGAGAAGAGTTGCTTCTCAGAAATTCCTGGCAGAGAAGGGGAGAACCACACGGAGTAAGTGACACTGAAACTTCTCGATACAGTCAGTTGCCAGCCAGGCTCTCCATTTAGGCTACAAGTTGGATGCCTGTTTTATCAGCAATACTACATCAAAATACAAAGAACAAAAAGGCCCTCTTTCTGGAGGTTGTCATAAGCTCTGTTTCAGGTTCAATTCCTTAGACAAAATCACATCAAGCTATGTCTTCCCTAGAAAAACCACCAAATGAACAGGAGATAAATACACCAAAAAAACCCCAAGTGAGTCATGGTGAGGTGTAGACAATCAAGATGAGAGTGGCAAAGGATCAAAGAGGCAACAGCTGCGGCTGCATCTGGGCTGCCAAGGCGGCAGCAGGCACGCATGCAAGGAGAGTCAAGGATTTCCCCGCCAAGGACAAAGGAGGTCTGACTCCAAGAGGACAGGACGGGAAGGACAGGAGCTGGGTACAGCTTACTGGAACTGATGAATTTTCTCCTGGCACATGGCTGGTGGAGGTGCAGATTTTGAGTAAAAAGTCAACTGCCTCTCACTGCTGGCAAGAAGCCAAGAGACGATAAGGAGTTATACCAAAAAGGAAAAAAAAAGCCAAGCAAGAAAAAAAATTGCTGATAGCAATATCAGGCCTTCTGTATTCCTGAGGCTCTCAACTTTGAAAATGCCTATGCAAAAGATACTAGCATTCCTAGGATGATTCCCACCACCCAGTTCTTCCTCCCTACTAGAACATTCCAGTGACCTGCCTGCCCCACTGCTCACGGCACCATCACCTGCTGCCTTCACCAGACAGAGAAGATGTAGGCTGCGTAGACTTTCCTCCCCAGAACAGTTTCACACGCACCACAACCAGCTGGGTGAGGAAGAAAGCACTGGCTTTCAAGGACAACCCTAACGGCAGAGAAACCAGGAACACTCCCGCACTGAGCTTGATAGAGTGTTTTAAAGTAAAGCAATTCCCCGGGGGCCTCTGCAGATGAAATAGGCACTTGGCAGAAGGGAAAAAAAATCCAGAATAAAAATAACACAGATCTTCAATCGCCTAAGTTTGTGCTCACTCTAAATTTCCTCTTTGGAATTTAAGGCTAGACAAATCTAACAAATGCTAATTTATTTTTAAAATATTTTATAAATTCACTATGTGTTTTCTGACTCCAGAAATACACACAGTACAACATCATCATGATAAGCTTTTTCCTACCAAGGGGCCCTAATAAGAAATAAAATAGGAATCATGGTTGAATGTATTCTTTTTGTTTTTTTTCCTGTAGATACAGAAGAAAAACCACCACGCTACAATAGGGTGCTTAAACTTTAGTATTTTGTCAATTCCAATAAAACCCTATACTAATCTCAACTAGTAATTTCCAGAATCTCTGTCACTGAAACATAAAGGTGCTCTTAAAAATGTACTGGACTGACTTGTCAAAGAAGGAAGTAAATGCCTCTCTACTGTGGCTCTTTCCTGCTGGCCAGGGCAAGGGGGGCTGAGAAGGGCACAGAGTTACCTGCGTCAAATGCATGATCTGCCCAAATGCATTAGCACCTGGGGCAACTTTTCTCCACCATAAGACCATCACATCCATCCCTCATGTGGGCAAAAGCCACTTCCCCTCTGAGAGGTGGAGTCTATTCCTTCACTCCCCTCAAATCTGGGCTGTCCTGCTTTGACCAGCAGGATATGGCAGAAGTAACAATGAAACTTCTGAGTTAGGTCCTAAGAAACGTGCAGCTTCTACAGAGCCTCTTGGAATGCTGGCTCTAGGAGAAGATGATGAACATGTGTATAAGAAGGCTGACAGCTGAGGCTGCCATACTGTGAGGAAGTCCAATTAACCGCGAGAAGAGATTTTCGACCAACTTAGGTATCAGGCATGTCAGTGAAGAACCCTCCCCCACAGGATCCTCAGAAAAAACTGTCCAGCTGAGCCCATCAATGCCCAGAGCTGTGAAAAATAACCAAATTTTAATCCACACATTTGGTTGGTGTATTGGGCAATATCTCATTGAGAAAGAGTAAGTAAAAGATCTCCCTAGTGTCCTATAATGGCTCAGTCCACAAATCCTAAATCCTTCCTCCACTTCTTATGTGAAAAGGAATGGAACAGTATACAGCCATAAAAGTTATGCACTACACACACATATACATCTGTACATACGATTGTTCATGACATAAGGAATTATTTATGGCTTAAGGTTTGGGGGAAAAAATGAATATAAAAAAGTAAAGCTCTGATTTGTTCTCAACTATCCAACAATATGTATAAAAGAGATGAAAAAGGACCAAGTTGAGAGTGTTGCATTTGAAATGTGGAATTATCAGTGATTCCTCCTCAAAGCTCACTTTCTTTTCTATGTTGAACTTTCAAACCTTATATACAATGAGCTATTGTATGATATAATTTCTTTAATAATAAGAAACACAAATTTTTTAAGTTTAAAAAGAGCCATAGCTACAGAGGGTTACGCTGAGCTGTGTTCTGGTTCTTATAGGACACAAAGGTCAGTGTTTAGTCCATGAGGGGCATTACCTATTCAGGTGACAGTCTTGCAGGCAAGAGAAAACCAAGCTCAGAGTACACTCAAACATTACAGTCTCTGGAGTAAAGATAGTTCTAATTTTTCCACGTCATCACTGCTTCCTTATTGAAGAATAAAATTTTACTTGTTCCCATCGCTCTAGACCTTGACACCTGCAGGTTCAAGATAAGACCTTACAGCTGAGTCCTGTCCGGAGTATGACAAGGTCTCTAATTACAGTGTCTGGTTGCACAGTGAAGGGAGGACTTGGGTGTGAGGAGTACACTCCAGCATGTCACCTACTCACCTGTACAGATGCCCTCCTGGTTATAGTAGCCATCCGGGCACTGGGAGAGGCACTGCCCATCCAGCAGTACGTGGGTTGGCCCACAGGCTGTGCAGTTATGGGTACTCTTCCCTGCACACCTCAAACAGGATGGGTGGCAAGCTGGGAGAAAGAAAAAGCAGAGGGGACAATCAGGACAATCAGTCAGCCCCACATGACATAGGCAGCAGCAGCTTTGTCCCGTCAACACTCCTGGGTCGGGATATATTCTGTACGTTCCTGTGGCTTTCCCAAGTGCAGGGCACATAGCTCACACGCTTCTTTCTAAAGGCGATCTCCAGCAAAGCAAGCCTTCATGGAACACAGATTAAGTAAAACACAAATGCCACAAAATGGAAATAACCACCAGCAGAGTCACACAGCTCTTTCTACCCAAGTTCCCATTTTCAGAGCATGTGGAATGAAGCACAGGAAGCCCTAAAATAGTCCCCCTCCCTGGCGACAATGCTCCCACTATCACTGTCCCTAGATTCTGGCTGCTCATCAGGCTGCTCAAGTTAAAGAGAAAGGTGGGGGAAGCCTGACTTATTGGTTCCGCAGAGGTTATGTGGTGTCTACTCTGTGACTGACACACCAAGAAAAGAAGGCCTGTCCAACACTTTGGGCTGCTCCAATTAGAGGCAACAACAGACACAGAAGCAAGCGGAGCACAGTGAATGGGAACAGAGTGCAGCCCAAGGAACGGGCACCACCACGCTCTGTGACCTGCACGGAGTTATGCAGTCTCTCAAGGCTCCCGCGTCCTCACCTACAGAACAAAGAAGCAAACAGTACACACCCCGTAGGGCAGTGGTTCTCATCCTTCCTATGCCGCGGCCCATTAATACACTTCCTGTGGGTCATGACCCACAGGTTGAGAACCGCTGCATAGGGTGTTTGGACACATGGGCTGACCATGTAAAGTTCTTAAGGTAGCGTTGGATACAGAGGAAAGGCTTAATAAATCGTAGCTATAATCATCAATAATAAGTGCTGTTTGAAGTACTCATAGGTGCAAAGAGAGTAAACCAAGGGAAGACAATGACCCCCTAAGGGTAAATGGGATATTTGCATCATTTCCCAAGAGTGGCCATCGTCTTAGTCATACGCCTTTTAATTTTCTGTATTTCTGATTCTTTGGCATCTGAGACAATGCTGATCCTGGAGACCAGCCCTGGGCGGTTGATTCCTCGAGCTGGTAGCTGGTAGCTGGGTTTCTTGGGAGCATGCCATCCACACCCCTGCCACACCTCCCTCAACGTATTCTTACTGTCCTGGCCACTATGCTCCAGGGACAGGTTCCAGACACTAGAGACAGCCTGTATGGCCCATGGACCCCTGGGATTATCAGCCAGTCCTAAAGCTGCTTGTTCTGCCTCACCCACTCCTTCCCACAGAAATAATACAGTAAGACTCTACCCACATTCCCCCCTCACCCCCTCTGCCTCCTGACTGGACCTGAGGCTTCCCTATGACCCTGCAGGTCACAACGTGCCCCCTGCCTCCTAGGAACTGTGAATAATAAACTCTATTTTCAGTGTCAATAGTCTCCTGATCTGTTGGCCTCTTACCTGAATCAAAAACCTACAATTTAAAACAACCAGCCATGTACCTCCAATCATTGGTTCATTCATTCACTTTTTACTGAACTTCAAGGAGGTCCAGGTGCTGGGGACACAATGCTGAATGGGACAAAGACCTGGTCCTTACCCATGCAGACGACCCCATGCAGTGTAGACCACCTGTCTTACCCATGCAGACGACCCCATGCAGTTTAGGCCACCTGCTGTCCAACAGACAAGATCCTCCAGACTGCCTCTGAGCCTCCTGTCCCTCCTACACCCCCAGAAGACTTACGGGCCTGCAGGCTTGGAGGGACCAGATACGACTTCACACCATTGAAACCTCCATTTCTACCAGCCCCTAATAAAATGTAACCTACAATCTTTAATATATAGGCCACTACAAAAGTTTGGACACAGGCTGTGTCAATGGTCCACTATTTCAGTTCCAAGAAACTTGGTCAACAGTGTCCTTCCTGATTCACCCATGCAAGTTCCAACTTGCTCAACTTACTGGTGTTACTGGGAGGGCTTCATGTGTTTCCATCCACACAGATTTCATGAATCTTTATTTTTTTTTTAAGACAGAAGCCTCAAGCTGTCTCCCTGGGTAGAGTGCCATGGCATCTCAGCTCACAGCAACCTCCAACTCCTGGGCTCAAGCGAGTCTCCTGCCTCCGCCTCCCAAGTAGCTGGGACCACAGGTGCCGGCGAGAATGCCCGGCTATTTTTTGGTTGCAGCTGTCATTGTGGTTTGACGGGCCGGGCTGGATTCGAACCTGCCACCTTGGTGTACATGGCTGGTGCCTTAGCCACTTGAGCCACAGGCGCTGAGTTGATTTCATGAATCTTAATTTTTGTGTATCTCAAAAGTTTCGTAATGACCCACATATATATGTGACCAACAATCAGCTAGTACGTCCAGGCCTGTCAATACTGGTTGTCACAGTCTTAAGCTACTTCTGGTCAGGTTGGCACATGGCTGTTGCCCTAAGCCTGCCAGTTCTCTGCTGCAGCCTCGGCCCCACCCCAGCACTCTGCCTGCCCCCTATAACCCTGCACCTATAAGGTTTAACACCTGTACTCAGGGGCCACAGGACCCTGCTCCCGAGCTGAAGCCAGTGCCTCTTCTCACTAAGCAATGCCCCTGTCTTACCTGTTGATAGTTTGATCATCGTCTCATATACTGTAGCTTTATATCTATTCAAGAATATTTTTTGCTACATGAGAAACAGAACCTAGAGCCCATACTTTTAATTAATTTACTTTTTTAAAATTAATTTTTTTTTAGATTCCCTTATAAACAGCTTTATTAGTACAAGTCACAGTTAGGAATTTTTCCCCAAGTATTTTCAGAATCTTCATTAAAAAAAGTGGAATAGGGATAAACTGACGTTTGAGAAAATATTATAAAAGAATGATATTCATTAGTCCCTTATTTAAGAAGTCTTTAACACAAATGAAACACCATCAAATGGAAAATTAGGTGGTGATATTTGTTAAGAAAAGATAAATTACATTGTCAACGACCAGCTTTCCAACATAATGTAGATGAAGCATCTTGAAGCAACGCAGTGTTTTCTATATACCACGATGTGCCTAAGACAATGATACCATTACACTTATATTATACTCTACGAGATGGCTTACATCCCCAGCTCTTCTTGTGATACCTCCCTGATATGATTTGGATGTTTGCCCCCTCCAGATCTCATTCATGTTGAAATTTGATCTCCACCGCTGGAGGTGAGGCCAAGCGGGAGGTGTTTGGGTTGGTGCCATCCCCGCCATCATGAGTGAGTCTGGTTCATGGGAAAGCTGGCTGCTTAGAGCCTTGGCACCCACACCCCCTTGCTGCTTTTCTGGCCATATGGCAGACCTGCTCCCCTGTCCCCTTCTGCTTTGATTAGAAGCTCCTGGAAGCCCTCACAAGGAGAAGATGCTGGTGCCATGCTCCTTGTACAGTTTGCAAAACTGTCAGCCAAATAAAGCTCTTCTCTTTACAAATTACCCAGTCTCAGGTATTCCATTATAGCAATGCAAATGGACTAATATACTCCCTAATAACTAGGAAGTCAAAGTGCATCATCAAAGTGTGGAATTGGAAACTGGAGAAAGATCAATCAGCGCATTGTGAGCATAAACATACTTTATTTCATTTAGTCACAAAGTCAATGTGATGGCTGGACTCAATGTGAATAGAGGCTATTATTGAATTACGTTCAACAGGAAAGCAAAGGGGGCAAACAAACCGCAAGGTTGGTGGGCCCAGAAATGCAGGAGAAAGAAACGCAGTCCCTTCACTGCCTACTTGATTTTGGAAATAAGCCCCACTGAACACGGCCAGGGCGGACTTCAGAATTCCCTTTGCTGCGGGTGTTTAAAAACTAAACAGATAAGGAATGAGTTAGTTGCTGTGGCCATGGAGGGACAAGGGTATGCTGGCTGAGATCCTCTCCAAGTGTCTTCCCTATAAAGCTCCGCTTCTGTAAGGACAGGCAATAGCATTTGCATGTTTAAAAAAAAAAATCTCATGAAACTTCCATTCTGTGCTGGTTTGGAAATGTCTACACCATTCAGTGAGCTTTATGAGGCTTAATCATTCTGGGGAAGGTGATTTCATAGCAGGAGTTCTGTCGGAAGTCTAAGATCCTTCAAGGAAGACTAACCCCATTACAGAGCATATACGGGAGACACCTGAAAGTTCTGTGAATAATTCTGCACGTAATACTACATTTCTAGAGACTGGTTTTCTGGTTGATGGCTAAGAACATATATTTCTGAAAAACCGTAATGAGCTGCTTAAGCACCGCAAGTGTCCTTAGATGGCTGACAGTCCTGTCAACCTGACTCCAGCAAAAACCATACCCCAAACCATTAAAACATATCAATTTTTGTTTTGTTTTCTATTTAAATTTCAAACAACTGATACTACTATTTCTCTTTTCTTTTTAATGATATGAAAAAAGTGGTACCATCGCTACTTTCATACCTTATAAAATTTCCTAGACTGTCATGACAAAAACAAATTTTGAAGTGGGTTTCTCTAAAGATAAGACCCAGATATGAAAATCCTCTGGTACATATGGGATGAAAATCGAAAGGAGTGAAGTTCATGAAAACCAGTCTCCCTCTTTCCCTCACTTTCCTTTTCTCTATTCTCCTTCCTTCTTTCTTTCTTAACATCCCCCATATCCAACCCTGATTAGACTAGAAACTCTTTAAGAGTAAAAAAAAAAAAAAAAAAAAAATCACATTTTTTTCATCCTTGTGGTTCCTACCTAGTCCGTGTCTCTGGCACATCTTAAATTCTCAATAAATGAATTTAGTTCTGCTGACTAAAGGGGCAGGTGGGTGGACATAGGGAACAGTAGCTCCCTGCTCATCTAGTTCTTCTCTCTTTGACCATTTCTTTCTTTTTTTGAGACAGAGTCTCATTCTGTCACCCTGGGTAGAGTGTTGGATGCCAAGCCTACAGCAACCTCAAACTCCTGGGCTCAAGCGATCCTCTTGCCTCAGCCTCCCAAATAGCTGGGACTATAGGCATGCACCACCATTCCT